TCTGAGTATATACCGAGCATCAGTGCCCTCAAGCTGACAGTTCTTGTAGTGTCTTCCAGTTTGGCATGGCCTTGGACGCCGTTAACGGTCGGAACACCTTGCAATTCATTGCATTGACGTGAGTCTGAATCACTTCCACGGCTGTTCAAACCTCCAATTACGACTCCAGGATCTTCAACGCCATGTTCCTTGTATATGCTATCATCCAGATTGGAGAAGTGGCAAGCATTGCAACTACCACGTCATCCGTTGCAACCACCGCGTCTGGCCTCTCCATTCATACACTTTCCATCATCGTACCCATCGTCATCTCCGTCGCTGAGCTGGCTTACGTCGGCCTTGCGTACAAGATCTACACGGAGTTTGGTTGGAAAGTCTACAAGTTTCTAGGCGCGGACCGTCGGATGAAGTCGATGTTCACTTACTACCAAATATTCCTATGTCTGGTGAAGTTCGACTTGTTCTTCTGGGTCGGCTTTTCGGTCCAGTTTATCTGGCTCGTCCTGGACAGCCATAACGCGGAGTACTACCTCACTTGTCTCGCGCTACCTTTGTCCATTGTAGTTCTCATCGACGGGCATATCGCTGCCCGTAGGGAGAACAAGTGGATGATGTATACTTTCATGACTGGGTGTGTGGGCGCGTTGGTCTACTTTTTGTACAAGGTAGGTTCGTGCGTTGCACTCATAGGTCGGTACTTACCTTCATATTTCATAGTTGATCAAGGTCGTGCGGCTCCATCACACGAGTACGTTCATAGATGTCTGGCAGACATTGACAACGTTCTGTGAGTAATATTACATTTCAATGTCACTGCCTACCTGACTGTACTATAGCCTTGCTAGCGATCAGCCTTCTTCTTATGACCTTCGTGTTCGCCTGCATAGTCATGAACAACTTTGGGCGAGGATTGGCAAATCAGAGTGCGTACAATCCCATTGCTTGTATTTGCACTCGCTCTTACATGTACTGCAGTGGCAAAGAAGCAAGGGACACGGCGCGGCAAATCACAAGACTTGTACCGAGGACCCATGAGAGATCATCCGAACAGGATGAGTATCGAATAAGGGCAGCCTCGACTGACCCAAGGACTTGTATCCATGACATGTACCATCTCGCTATTTTTCTCAATACGCCTCGTGGACATCGTCTTCGTACTTACCTCTCACTCTTGCATTACCTAGTACCACAGTATCAAGCCATTCCACCATATACGTTTCGGTGCGCCGCTTCTTGCGGTCTCCACCAGTGCCCTACGCTTCAAACCTGTTGTTGCTGGTCTTCAGTCAATGAGGCGTCTTACCTTACACCTCGTCGCATATTATCATTTGGCCAACCTCTTCACGGTATATACCTGTTGCATTTTTCCTGAGGTGGTATACGCTGGTACGCTCCTGTATTGCTAGCTCTGGATAGCGGAGATAACAGAAGCGCATCTGTGGTCATGGCGTTCATTGTCGTTTCCAAAATGTTTGACGGCTGGAAACCTGAAAAAACGAAGGGACTTCGTCCCAATCGTAGATCTCAGATCACTTGGACGTCAAACGTGGCGCGTCCCCAAGTAAACACCCGCCGCCGCTGAGTACTGACCATTGAACGACCTGATGAGCACAACGGGCCTCCTTATCCTGTAATGTCACAAAGGTATGCTCGAATGCCGGGATTGGCTCAGAACATTCACTCACACGATATACCAGATACAGGGCAACTGCGTCGCTGCACAACCGCAGCGCTCTTCTGCCGGAGACGTATAGCACTCCTCCGTCCTCAGGGCGGTCCTCTCCATTCCATCATCAACCAGCTGGCCACCGTTTCGCAGATGATCTAGAGGGCCAGAATGATGAGCACTTGGAGGGATTGCAGGCGAAGGTGAAGCTGCTGAAAGATGTGAGTGAGTGGCTCGGTCTGTGTTCGCTTGACTGCGGCGCGCACATCGCTTGCATTGCTGACCGTTGTCTTCCTCAGATCACCATTGGTATCGGCAACGAGGTCAGGGACTCCACGGTTCAGCTGAGTCAGATGGTGTGTGCGCAATGATTGGTGGTGTAGTCGGACCTCTCAAGTCTCCGTATGTAGAACGACGCATTCTCGGAGACGTCTGGGATACTCGCTGGGACGTTCCGGCGCATGAACAACATGGCAACACGACAAGGGTGCCGCTGGTTGTGGTATATCGTCTTCCTCATCACTGTCTTCTGGTTCTTCATCATCGTGTGGTGGTTTCGGCGTTGAGGCCTTCTTCGTACCTGTGTCATTGCTATCCCTTGCATATTTATGTCCCGAATACATGGATTGTTCGCATCGACAGTGTGTCGTGTTTCTCGTGTTGTCCCCTCTGCTCAACAATGTATGTCCACTGCAAGTCCCTGAGGCAGAGAGGAAGCCGCACATTCCATTGGGAACGAGATGCACAAGAATAAAAGAGGATGATGGAAAACGGAAAACACTAGATCTCCATGCAGCAACTCCCTCTACCAACAATGCCAGACATTACTACTACTGATAGATAAAACGCGGTAGGCCAGGCGGAGTGTGTGTACTAGGGATCGTCACGGAGCTTTGCGTTGCCAATCTCCCATATCATGCGGCGACGTAGATATGGTATGTTGGACTGCGTGAAGGAAAACCGTTCTTCGCCTCTTGAGAGGGTTTCGAGGAACTGACACGTGAAGACGCCGCAGTCATAACCGTTCTCTTGTTGTGGCGTGTCCTACGTAGCTCCGGGTAAGGATGTTGGAACTCTTCAATCCACAATGGCCTACCTTGAGTACATAGTCCTCCCAACCTGTAAAATCGAACGGAGCGCCCTTCTTCTTCTTACGATGCTCCTTATCGAGCCAATACTTCAATCGCTGAAGGAAGGTCAGCCAACTCACAGCAGACATTACAAGTTGCGTACTTCAAACACTGCTCGCCGTGGCATACCCATACTATCATATGATTCTATCCGCTTGCGGCGAAAGTTGATAGCTGCAGCCGTCCAGTGCGTATTGTTATGGTTGATGGGGATGAGCACGATGTCTTTTGCAAATATGTCGAACTGAAAGTAGGTGAGAGAGAAGTTGTACATGCGAGATACAGGAGCATACCTTCTTAGTCCACCTGTCTAACCTTGATTCTTCGTAGGTTTGCTTCGAGATTTTCTGCCAGAAGAACGTGTTGAAGTAGTAGATCTCGAGTGGCTTCTTCTTCCCGTTCGTCCCCGCTTTCTTCTTGATAACCTCTGCACGGTTCATCATGAGTTGCCCGTAGAAGTTTACAATTTCGTCGTTGAGCCATTTGTCTGGTGCCAAGCGGGTCATGTCCTTGTGCTCGATCTGAAGAGCACCACACTTGGAAATGACACCGCGCATGGAAAGCAGGTCGTCGACAATGGCGTCATCCTCTGGTGGCAACGATGTAGGCAGCCTTGGTGCGCGCAGGCGACGTTCGATGTCCTCGTCACGCTCGCGTTGCGTAGCTAGTATCTTCTCGAGTGTCGGGGCGTCCAACTTTGCTGGAGGAGGGCTGTCAGAATAGCGATGAGATTGGCAACACTGATGTTTCTATGCTCTTACCTTTTGAGTGACGCATCTACCTTGTCCCATGCACGTTGCAAGAAGTCCTGCATACTCAATGTGAGCCATGCCCGTAAGCCAATTCCCGCGCCAACAGACCTTGGTGAGGGGCTCCTCTTCAATCGGTCGACGTAGGTCAGTTAATGATGCAGACGCTATATACGGCAGTCAACAGATGCAAGGTAGGTCGTTTCAATCTCGACTCACGAGACAGAGCAGCCAAGGGGCTCTGCAACTTCTCCAGCCGGGCCTTGTAGCGCAAGTATCCTTCCCGGATGCGTAAATGCGTGCAGTAGGCGACAGTAGGCATCTCTCACCTTTGAATGAAGCGTAGTCACCAGTAAAGCCTGGGAGCACGCCGTTAGAGCTTATACGAAGTCACACGTAGACGCAAGCACTCACCCCCCTGCCGTTTGCGCTCGAATAGTGCCTGCTCCATCTCCTCTAAATCCTTCTCTCTCGTCTCTTTCACTCTAGCCTTGTGCTATCGACATGTGGGTATCAGCGTGTCATGGAATGACGCACACGAGATGCTGTCCAACCTGCTTTGCGAATATGTGCTCCCGGGCGACATACTTCTTGCGGCCACTCAGGTACTTGGGCCCTGCGCTGGACCGTGGATCTGCGGAGGCTTGCGCCCTGGTATCAATCCCGTTGATCACTGGAGGCTGTAGCGGGAAAGCCTTGACGTTTGGTTCCGACTTCCGTCGGGCTCGAGGAGGAACGGCTGGCTGCGAGGAACCAGACGAGGAACCAGCCAGTGGAAGCTCCACTCCGATGGGAGGCACTTTGGGGACACGATGTGATGGTCTTCGTGGTAGCGTAAAGCTCGATGAAGGCTGGCTGGACGACTGTCCATTCTGTGGCCGCAATTCTGTTTTGAACTCGGATGGGATGGCAGGGCGGGATGGATGACGCGGCGGAGGAGGAGACGGTGGAGGTGGTGCCTCTGCTGGGTCAATCGGGTGAGGCTGAGGAAGAGTGGTGTCGTCGGCGGCATCTGAAGATCCACACGCGTCGGTGGCGTCTGGAGATGAAGGATTCTTGCTACGCACCTTGCGCTGGAAAGAGCGACCGTATGGTTTTCTCATATCCGAGTTTGAGTATCTTCATTCCTACTTGAACGAGGTACGAGGCCCCGTCGACGTTGTCCGCAAAAGTCTGCCTCTCGTTAGCGTGCGGTTCGGCGAGGCGTGGATGTTTCGCAGCGCGGAGTGGTAGCAAAGTCTCTGAGGGTGGACGCTTGCGAGCGGGCATAGGAGCTACGATAAGCCCGCTAGAATAAGAGCGGTGTATGTGGCGAGACGGATGGAGTGGTGAGCTGCGTGTGCGTGGATGCGTGTACGGAGGATGCTCAGCCACAGAGTTGCTGTCCGCGGAGCAGGTCAACCGCGAACCGATCGGCGCGCGAATTAAAGCGCCTTTAAGGTCCGTTATATACAAGCTTCCGTGGCTCAGTCGGTAGAGCGCAGGTCTCATACTATTGTATGACAGGGAACACCCTGCAATCCTGAGGTCAAGAGTTCGATCCTCTTCGGGAGCAACAGTTTTGACTGAAAGAGCAGTCTTTTGGAAGAGCGCTGAGCCAAGCACACAAAATGTACGATGCAACATTACTTGCCGAGACTTAAAGGAGTCTCGAAATTAACTGTCGGGGCAGCTCTGACCATGTCTTACGCTTAATACAATGAGACCCGGGTGAAAGGCGAACCGTATTCGCATTGTGAAGTCATGCTAATTCCGACGGTCTCGTCACTGTCATTCTGGCCAAACCTCGAGATTGAAATCGCCGGGCCGAGCCAACTGACGTACCGTGTACAGTTCGTAATTCAGGTATTGCATCCCTTGCAGATCGAAGCAGAGGAATGTAGTAATCAAGTCCCCTCCTCCCCGTTCCCCACAGGAGTACGCCACGACTCTCCGCAACAGTACGGTTGATGTAGTGACACCACTCACCACTATATAATCGTACGAGTATTCTTCCTTAATCACGCAACCCGGCCTTCTGTGGCTCTGGCAGTGTGTATTATGATTTGAGCGAGTGGACCTCCGGCTGATAGGGCCCCCGAGGACTATCCAACGCTGTAGACTGCGGTGTGTACTTACTGCACTCGCAGTCAACGCGCAGAGTCGGGTCTGACAGATCTCAACAGAAGTATGATTGGGACATGACACATCTAAATGTATTCTGTTGCAATCTAACCATATCACACTGTTACGACGTTCCCCACCTGGTACCATTCCGAAAGCCCATGGGTCGTTCGCATGCGCTAGAAAACCTTAGGTCACTGTTGTTCAATCAGATGCTATCGCCATGGAATTATTTGACGGCAACCTAGCTCAAGGGTCACCGGTCACCCCGCCTCTAGGCGACTTCCTCGCCGTCTGCGACTCTCATCAAGACACAGGGCTTGATGGTACCTTGTGGTACAGTGGCTCAGTGCGCGGGCCGTCTGCATGTATATGATGATTGTGACAGATCACCGGCGCCGCCGATACTGCACTCGTACCTCGGCCTCAGCTCAGCAGTGGCGTTAGAGCGCAGCTACTAGCACTGTGGGCTCAGTAGATGAGATTTGCGACAGGATTAGAACATTCTGGAGTGCGGATGCGGTGCTAGAAGAGAGTAGTTGCAGTCTCGCCTTGTTCTGTGGCCAGCATACAGGTGTCATCCGTGCGGCGGCCGGTTGGGTCGCAGAAGACGGACGTGTATTGGCGAATACAGGCATGCAGCCGGGGAGCGATGTGGATAGAATCTGGAGACGAGGGAGAAAGGACGTATGGAGGAGTGACGACACAGGCATCGGAGATGAGGATTTGGGCGCCTCTGCGGGCGTAGCGTGGAAGCGCCGCAGTGGACTCTCACCCAGAACTCGACGCTTCGAGGATAAGATAGGCGGTTCAGGCCAGTCCACCGACCGCGGATTCTTCATATCTTCTCGTAGCAACTCCCCCGGCGGTCCGACCTGCTGCACTCGTCACTTCACACGTTGACGCGAAACAGCATATAAGCCCCTCAAGCGGCTGCCCTCGTCCGCGTGCCCCCAATCCTCTTTGTCTCGCTTGCGACCTCCACTCACTCTACAGGCTATTATCCCTTCGCATCTCTATCTCGAGATGGGCATGAGCTACCGCCAATACCTGAACGGTGCCCGCATCTACGGGTGCTCCAACTGCAAGACGCACCTCGCCACCATCCATTCGATGATCTCCCGCGTGCGTTACTCGGCCTTGACTCGGCCCCTCTCATGTTGATGCATCTCCCTCCCACAGGCTTTCCATGGCCAACATGGTCGTGCGTACCTCTTTGACGGAGTGTGAGTCGCCCGTCTCCTCTGTGCCAACATGGTTACTAACAGGTGATCATGCGCAGTGTGAACGTCATCGAGGGCGAACCTAATGACCGAGTCATGACGACGGGTAACCACACCGTGCGCGATATCTACTGCTGCAAGTGCGGACAGACCCTTGGGTGGAAATATGTACGTCGCCTACTGCTTCACCAACCCCTAAGCAAAGCTTACGACCGTGGCGGTAGGACCGAGCCTACGAGCAGTCCCAGAAGTATAAGGAGGGCAAGTTCATTCTCGAACGGAACCTCCTTGCCGACGTGCAATGATCGCTGGCCGCTCATTCAACGGGTTGCGCTGCTCGGACAGCTTTAGGCTGAAAACACATCGTCCGCACGCACTTCTCGTTCAACGGCTGTCGGTCACATCGGTCTTGGTCTTGCCATCGCAATCGCATCGGATCCGCCCACCCTCCCCATTACCGCGCCAATGCCCATACTCGCGGGCTCACACGGAGATGGCGTGCGCACATACAGAGGTCCAGTGGTTGAGCGGGTGCTCCGGCACCCATGTGCTCAGTCTACCCCTCCCACCATGGCACTTCGGTGCAACCGTACATATTGGGAACATCATATCCCGCTTACATGACAGCCTAGGTGTTATGCCAACGCTGCTATCATCCATATTATCCATCTCCTCTCCTCGATTACACTTTATCCATGTAGTCCGTGCGATCGCTGATCGTCAACCTCTCCAGTTGTACCAGCGTATTCATGGATGCCCTTCCTGGTCACCTCATGTTTCGCTCCGTCTGTACGATATAGAAGTAACCTTGCATGTGTATATATACACTTAAAGATCTGATATCAGTGCCGGCTGCGGCAACTAGCAAGTCAATATTCTAATGACACTACGATATGTGCGATCGCTGCCCAGTTATGAATCTGCGGTGAGTAACGTCATGATGACTAGAATGTGATGATGTGGTACGCAACAAGCGGGAACAACCTCGTGGCTAAATGGACCCTCCTCCTCCTCCTCCTCTGTAATGCTGCTCAGGGCTGTATCGGTGGCCGCGCAACGCTACAGCCTACAAGCAGGGATCGAGGGTCTCGGCCCATGCGAGTTGTTATATATGAATTTGTATGAACGTTTGCTCCGGAGGCTGCCCACTGCCTTACGCGTACGACCCCACGAAAGCCTATAACAATCTCGGATTGGATCATCAAAGTAGTAGATCAAACGTGTCCTGCGTAGTCTGATCGAGTCATGTAGACAGTACTTGCTGACTCAGCGAACTAGGCTTCTTCGACCGCCGCGATCAGTCCCAGCATGATGAACGGCGCTGTCGAACATGACGCGCGCCGCTTAGGACTTGTGCAGTATGTTTGTTTTGCGTAAAGACAGACAAGGGGGTGACTGTGACTTTAGGTGAGCACATAGAGCAAGAGAGGGAGGGATCACCGTCGGACGCGTGGTCGGCGACCGGGGGAGTCGGAGAGTTGGACCGACGTCGCGTTGGCGAAGCGCCGGGGAGAGTGGGGGAAAGTCGCTGGGGTTTGGGTCGCTCCTCGCCGCCCGTTCACGTATATTAGCCCCAACATGTCCTCAACCTCTCTAGACCGCCTTTCCTTTGCTCCTGTCTCTTTTCCCCGCCATCACCCTAGACCATTCCTGTTCCTGACCAAAAATGGGTATGCATCCTGATGTCGCCGCGCACATATCCTCGGGCTGAAGGCTGTCGTCTTCTCTCTTCCAGCTATCATGACCATGTCTGCGGGCCCCTCTGCCCTCAACCCCGCCTCTGTGAGGCCGTACGCGTCGTCCCCGCTCGTTCCGAACACGACACCTCGCCCATCCCGGTCACACGGAACCGCGCCGTCTTTCCCCGTATCGCGGCCACTGCGGCCCTTCCCCTCGATCGCCAACTCCCTATCCCCCGGCTTCCAACAGCGACCAGGCGCGTCCGGAGAAAAGAGGCCAGTCAAACTCATCCAGCCACCTGCCAATTTCAAATGCGAGTTCGTTCTGAACCTCACGCAAGCCGAGTTCAGTCGACAGGATTGACTACGTCTGAGAGGTATGTTCTACCACTTGTCTTTCGAGCCGTCCTGGCTGACCTTCGTAGCCTAGATGCCTATACCCGGGCCCGTCTTACTCCACGGTGGCCGCTTGCCGTCCCCCGCATTGCACGAACTCCCTGTATTCTAGACACGACCTGCCCCCGCGTTACTTGATGGAGCTTCTACGTATGTTGAGCGTGTATTTTTTTGTCAACCTCTTCAGTTTACGCGTTCCATGACACGTATTTCTATGGCTCCCTCCCAGTTTACCTTCTTTGGGTGCCTGAGTCCGTTGAATTTACGTTTGTTGTAGAATGTGAAATCCAGTAGCGTACAACGTGGATGTAATCATACCCGCCGACTGGAGTCTTGAACGCAAGCTTCAGTCTGTATACACCCCAGTCTCCGCTATGTTGCTTCGATGTTTTAACCTCGTTTTTCAAAGTAAGCAAGACTACTCCAGCCTTGGACTCCGGGTCTGTCCCCTTTCGCGTGGCACCTAGTCTTGTCTTTCACCTTAGAAGGACTGCATTCCGTCACATACATAGGCTCAGTGCGATCTAGGCACCTTGAAGATAAGACCCATACTCAAGGTCCGACCAGCTAATAACCCGCGACAGTCGGGTTCACATTGCAGTGAACGCTGCATTGTTGCAATTGGTGCCTAGGAGCTGGCATCCGAGTCAGCCGCCAGATTGAGGGGCCGCACATCAGCGTGCAGTGCGTTCAGTTTTCCTAGATCTACCTATAAATTCTACCAGCGCAGTATTCAGCCTGTCAAGGTCTTCTACGTATAGATAGGCCGCTACGCCTGGGCTGGGACAATGAAATTGGAAGGACCGCGCGTACCGACAAGGAACAATGTCCACCGTTCCGGACCCTCCGGACTCGAGGCCGGACGGTGGTCATTCCTTAATCGACGCGTTACTTGCAAAGGAATATTTTTACAAGGCTGGGAGTTCTTGCCCCAACTTGAGCTTGTGCATAGCGATGAGGCTGTACCTGGCTGCCAGAGCCGCCTCCCACTGCTAGCAGACTGCATTCGTGGAACTCGACGGTCCAGGTCTTGGGCACTGGCACCCGTCCTCCGCGATATTCGACGCTGTAGCCATTTCGTGGAATTCCGAGTGCGTCACGTAGCAGGCCGGATTATGGCACAGGAGCAAGCAGGACGGGCAGGACCGCAGGTG